ATTTACTTCATGCCAGTTGCATAAAACAGAAATTTTGTAATTAATAAGTGGCATTGAAGCTGTCTAAATCTTGTACACATCCCTAGTTAATGATGTACATTGTATACTTTATGCATAGTGTTTTCCTCTTTGTTTCAGACATTCAACTATTGTCACCTGTTAGACAGTTCATGTCTTATTTCTAACATGTTAAAAAATAGATCACATGCTAAATATATTCCCAAAGGATATTTCCTTATGCAAGGTATGTTTTGTTTAAGAAGACTACTTTATAATAGTCTTCATGTAATTGATATTGCCTATATTAAATCTTTCGCTATTATCAGTTATATCCTAGCTACTGAAATCGCTTAAATTCTCACTTCATTCATTAGTAAATATCGTGCTTCTATTATGATTAGACTTTAAGATTGTTTAAAGCATAACAACACATTAGCTTTAACCCATATTTCTCAACTTAATCCTTTGTTTGTACGTTGTCAGTAGCTTGTAATTACTTATAGTTAATATCTTAATGTGTCGTAGAGATATCGTCTTTAGTTATCACACTGTCATCAAGTTTTACAGACTTGTATGATTAGACATGACACAACCAGGATTTATCCCAACTGTTAAAAAATAATATGTTCAATATCTCAGCTCCATAACACCTATGGAAATAGAGATTGTCACGTATTTGAACTCGACCTGCTTCTGTTTGTACAACTAGGTATCACTGATAGTTTTTATACACTGCCGTATCTAATAGCATGTAGAAACTACTGTTTTCGTACTGAACAAAATACATTAGACTTTTAGATAAAAGATCTCTTTTATAACTGAAAATTATGCAGTGGAGAAGTTTCAGTTAATCCTTCAGTGAATAATACAGATTTCTTGCTCGAAGTAGACTGAGTTGGATACTGCAATTCGATTCAATATAGTAAGCTTTAAAAACGAAACTGTGGGCATTGTCTCATTCACCCCCCTCGCCGCCAAAGGATTTGCATCAGATGGTTGTCCAACATTATTTCACACATACGTGTTCATCGTGCAATGACAAACTGTCTTCTGACTAACCGATAACATGGCCCATCAAAATTGATAGCGCGATATTTGCATGCAGCAACTCGGTGCAAAATTATTGGCAAAGATCAATGTTCTATTTATGCACTAATATTAAAGACATAGTTTCAGTCAATTGTTTATAGCTTTCTCCAAAAAAGTCCTACTCAATATGTTCATGTAGCAAGGCTGTTTTCACAAACATGAAAGAACAAATAAACAACAAACGCTTTTTTCGTTATCTAACCAAAACTTTTATTTTAAGACGGCATGCAAAGTGCCTTTTGTCAAAAATTTTCAACCGCTTCCGGTGTGATACAGCAAACCCTGAAGTTAATATTTAATTCCCAACCATTTATTACGTTGCTTATATCATACTCGACAATTTTTGCATCATTTAATCTTCAGTTTTAAGCCAATGCTCTATCGACGAAGCACCATTTACCTTACCATATTTACAGTCCCAATGGCAAAAGGTATCAAAGATTCTGGATGTAGATGAAACAATTCTTTCCGTTGAAGATTTAGAGTAAGTTATAATCTTACTGTTCCCAGATAAAACACAGGTATAACGTCTGATATTGCAATGTAATCAATTTTGAGCCATGTCATTTTTTACCCATCACGAAAACTGTACTGAAAATGTTTAGAAATGCGATCCTATATCACATCACTTCGTAACTCAGTCAAAAAAGCACAAGCGACCATATATATATATATATATATATATATATATATATATATATATATATATATATATATATATATATATATATATATATATATATATATATATATATATATATATATATATCATGGATTTTTAGCAACCTTGACACCAACACTGTAGTAATTTTGATAGTTGACATCATGAGTCAATTAAAGCTAGACCACCAGGGAAAACCTGGAAGTATTGGATGGCCGTTCCGTCCTACTGTGGGACTCCTCAGCAGTGCACATGCACTATCCCACCTCGTATACTATTGTTTTTAACCCCAATACTTCGATACAAATATGGGTTTCTTGGTCAAATATTCAAAATTAAACCTGTGTACAAATTGTGAAATTTAAATAATGGGGTTCAGGTACCGAGCAAGACTAAATAATACGTCGATTAATGTCGGACACAAAACCCCCAATACTTTGGGAATTCGCAATTCGGTCAACTACTACTTATCACTATAAACTAGTAGGTTAGAGAAAACTTTTTAAGTTACGAAACAAACTCAGTGAACCATTAGGGAATTTTGATGTAATTAGATGTTGGGAATAAAATTCGAATAATGTTTATATTTTTAACGTCACTTTATAAGATCGCCTCAGTATTATATCTCAGATTTTGCATGCTATCTTTTTAATACCCTACATAGATGTTGCTCTGGTGCTACAATCCCAGCTGTTAATCCAGTACTTGGTGGTGTTGTGTCCCAAGAAATAATCAGGGTAAGTAAAAGCTACTTTGTTATTATCTTCAATAAATCATGATCTCTTCAAGAGGCATCATGTGAATAGACCGAGTATAATCTTGCATTATTGCAGTGGTAGAAGCTACGGCAATGTCCGACTACATATACAGGGTTATTAAGTTACAAAAAATATAAATGCAGAATATCTTGCTTACCAGTGTACGAATTTAAGTAAATAGAAGATCCAACTATATTGAAAAGAGCAAGAACAAATATTCTAGCAGAATAGCATGAATTCATTTTATTTCGTAGGTTCTCGTCAGCTGCTTATAACCTGTGATACTTAAAAATCATAATTGCATAATGGGTTTAAATTGCTAACTGAATATTGTAAATATATACCTAATGTGGAAGAATATTCTACAACATTAATTGTGACAACAGTTCAAAAGTGGGTTAGAAGCAATCGATTACATAATGAATAACATTGAAGGAATGTAGTGAGTAGAGTTCAGTTGAAAGATTATTAATTTGAAAGATAGTTTAAAAAATAAAATAGAGTCAATGATGTAATAAATGCAAAAGAAAAAAGAAAAAAATTTTTACGGTGCAGTGAAGGAATATTTGTCACCAGGGCAAGGAAAGATTAACCACCGTCTCCTTTTGAATGCATAGGTCAGGTTTTTGACGCCTGATGGCAATGGCTTCAGCAAACTTCAGAAGACTGGAGTTTGGCTGCTTACTAATAACCCTAAAGGATTGTAAGGTATCTACCTGATGTCCTGTATCAAGGAGATGTTTGGTGATTGCACTGTTCAGAGTCTTTCTTCCCCTTGTTCGAAGACTTTTTAGAACATGTTCAAAGAATCTAAGATATGCTCTCCTTTCAGTTCGGCCGATGTAGCTGCTTTGGCAGGTACACGTAAATTTATAAATACAGTTGGCGGTAACCTGAAAGGGTTGCTTGTCGATCTTTGATTGGGTTATTGAACATGTTGTTTTATAGAGAATTAAAAGTTTAGCAGCCGGATAAGTTCTGGCTAGCTCTGTATTCAGTCTCTTGTTGATAATCTGTGCGACGTCATCACCCTTTCAGGTTACCGCCAACTGTATTCATAAATTTACGTGTACCTGCCAAAGCAGCTACATCGGCCGAACTGAAAGGAGAGCATATCTTAGATTCTTTGAACATGTTCTAAAAAGTCTTCGAACAAGGGGAAGAAAGACTCTGAACAGTGCAATCACCAAACATCTCCTTGATACAGGACATCAGGTAGATACCTTACAATCCTTTAGGGTTATTAGTAAGCAGCCAAACTCCAGTCTTCTGAAGTTTGCTGAAGCCATTGCCATCAGGCGTCAAAAACCTGACCTATGCATTCAAAAGGAGACGGTGGTTAATCTTTCCTTGCCCTGGTGACAAATATTCCTTCACTGCACCGTAAAAAATTTTTTCTTTTTTCTTTTGCATTTATTACATCATTGACTCTATTTTATTTTTTAAACTATCTTTCAAATTAATAATCTTTCAACTGAACTCTACTCACTACATTCCTTCAATGTTATTCATTATGTAATCGATTGCTTCTAACCCACTTTTGAACTGTTGTCACAATTAATGTTGTAGAATATTCTTTCACATTAGGTATATATTTACAATATTCAGTTAGCAATTTAAACCCATTATGTAATTATGATTTTTAAATATCACAGGTTGTAAGCAGCTGATGAGAACCTACGAAATAAAATGAATTCATGCTATTCTGCTAGAATCTTTGTTCTTGATCTTTTCAAAATGATAAAGGGAACTATGTGTATGAAAAATCCAACTATATCACAGATTAACTATCGGCCTTGTTCCATAGATCCTGTGGTGAACACTTTCTATGCTTTAGACCACTAGACAAGTTCAAACAGTTGGTTCGTGAATAATAATAGTCTAACGAAGAGACTTCCCCATTTAACTAGATTACCGATTAGGATAATATTTCAATGCTGATTATAAATAAACATCTGAAATTGTTTTACGGGTTTCAAGATCACGACGTCATCCTCCCTGAGTAAAACATTTCCGTTGCTTAAATGAATGCAACTCTTAATAAACGACTGCGTCTCACAGTGAGGCGCACTACTGTGTTGTATAAAGGGATCCTGGTGAACGGATTGATGTTTTTGTTGGCAGTGCAATTAGTCGAGTTGACGATTGTCATTGTTTAGTTATCTACCTGATGTTCATTAACTTCCCTATCCCCCAACCAGCATTTTTAACTAATTTGCAGTATTTTTTAAATCGACTTTCAGTATTGCTAATTTACTCCTATTTCTTAGGCCATAACACGAAAAGGTGCACCGCATGGAAACTGGTACTTTTTTAATGGATCACAGTGCTCAGTTACTGTCGATTGGTTACCGCCAGATGAAAAGTCATAAACCAGTGAATATCTCTACTACCATTAAAAAAACAAGCTATTTTTCTATTGGATTTAATAAATGTATAGTTGACTGTACAAGATTTTAGAAAATATACAAAAATATAAAACTGGACTTTTTTTAATCACTGTCTTCGTCGATTTCGATTTCTTCTTTGTTTTTCCGGTCAAACCATGTGGGTTCTCTCTCAGGAATACGATTATCATCTTCATCACCTTGTAAATCATCCTCCTCTTCTTCTTCTTCTTCAGATTCTTCACTGGAATCACTATCCTCTTTACCTTCGGCCTCTGCAGCTGCTTTTTTCCTCTCCATTTGTTCTGCCCATCTAGCGGCCATTGTAAGCAATTTTTGATTTGGCTTTTCTGCATCTGTATCGGGGAATGTATACTCAATATATTCTTCCCAACCACTACGTTCATCACCAAGTCGGCGACTGCGAACGACCTTCTGCGGTTGTAGTTTATCAACATCTCGCTGTGTTTTTTCAGTTCCATATTCATACTAAAGGCAGCAAAATTTAGGAAGGGACCAAAATTAAAAGATACGATCTGTTAGACTTTAGAAATCGTATTGTAAATACCAATGATCATGACAGCTACTAACATGAAATCCAATATGGCAATTATTCTAGACAATAGCTAATTTACAAATACTTCACTCCTCCAGCAACCTCATGTTAAATACTGTATTAAGAGATGAGTGGTGTAATAAATCTAGGATTTTAGACATTTTATGTAGGTATGCACAACAATTTTCATCAGCGGCGACGATAGTAATAATAAGTGAATTCTTCAGTATACAATGTGGTCTTACACAATGGATTTTATAAAAGAGGAGAATTACCCTTGATAAATGCAGTTGTAAAATTATTCTTATTTCAAATGGTAACCGTAGTACCGTACTCAAAATCTGCCAGTCAATCAAATAACATTTCTATTAAGCAAAAAGATACACCTACTTTTTAATTATGGGGACTGTGAATAGGACATTCTAAAAATTGAAGTCTTGAGAATAAGTGCAAAACTCAAACTTTAAGATGAGTTACTATAAATATCTACGATCTAAAAGCACTTAGAAGTAAACACTTTTGCTACATATGTATACAAATAACAACTGATATGGATATAATAGGCAAATTCCTATTCGGAAAGTCAAGCAAGATATAGTAACTTACTTCAAATTCCTTCCAAGCTTCAAGTAATCGAACACGTTGCTCCTTATCCTCTGTATATTTCAGAGCTTTATTTTGCTTCTTGGTAGATTTTACGTGAACGTTCTACTGCTTTGTTGATTTCGTTTTCATTATGTTCTTGTATTAATGTTTCTTTGTCCAGTTCAACATCTTTCAAATGTTCTAAATCTTCATCATCTAAATCAGCGGCTGTGAGTTTGTTCAAGGCACACAATTCGAAGTTTGCAAGACTTAACCATACCTATCGATAAGAACCAATTTAAAATATTTAGTCATCACTGACAAGCAAATTAATATGTACGATAAAATCTGGTACCAAATTGGAGTACTGATAATCCACAATCATTCTTAATCAGTCTTACTATAATTATCCAATTAGGTTTGTCTGGATAATTGGTAGTCTGATAAAATACCTCTCTTCTTTTATAGTGTAATTTATCAATAATACAGTGTAACACTACTTTCTGGAAGTGCGGACTTGTGATGTGATTTGGAGTATCTCAGTTATTTAGATGCTGTTAACATCAGCGTTTAGTTAAGCTCTGAGATATTTCTGTTTGTCAAAATACAAATGAGATACTTGTACCTCACGAATTCCTGAGCAGGTGAAGTTTATAAAATATGCACAACTTTCAAACCCGAACATTTTAACTAAACAGAAATGCGGACCCGATGGATGCACTAACAATTAAGTCAGTTGATAAAATAGAACGTACACTTGAGTGCATTAAATTTTTGTTGCCCAATGTATACAATCACACTCAAAGTTGCCCCTAAGACTCAGAACTTACAACTTATTTACTTTGGTTACCAAACAGGTGGGAAATCCAATTGTGTGGGCTTAGTTTCAGACAGTAGGATACATTTTACTTTTAAACTAGTTGAAACATAAGGGTCGTCATTGAGGTAGATTAAACTACTATGATGGTCACATGAAACTGAAATCATGTTAACAACATAGGATAAAAGATTTCTCTAGGTCTACCTTAAAAAACCAGTTACATTAGAGATGGGTTTTTTTTATATGTGAACAGTCCATTTTACTCTCATTTGATGACTCCTGCCATACACAGGGTACGTTGATCTCACTGGTCTCGGATTACGGATGTGTTTTGGATACGGAGTGACTACCATTATTCGATAGCGTAGTGAGTAACGTTTTGGAGTTCGGCGTAGTAGATTATAGCAAGTTATTTCAGATAACTGGTCTCGGCTACAACTAAATAAACATCTTAGATTTTACAACCACCCATTTCGATAGTATTATCCACTTACTTTATTTTGTAGTTAGTCTTAATAGAACTACTAAGATGAATACAGTATTTCACTTTGTTTAGAATGTACAACCTGCTGAAAATGGTTATATTTCATAGTGACATTCCTTTATCTTATGACTTAACCAGTAAAAACAACACTTACTTTGACGTGTTGTGTTCGATTTAGCAGTCTTCGATAAAGTGACCGAGCACGTTCCCAATCATACTGTTCAATCTCGAAGTCAATATATGCTTTCCATAATAATTCCGGCATATCCAGCAATTTCCTGTTGATCGCTAATTCATAAATACCTCGTGCACGATCTGTTTCTCCCAGAAGACTTTCCAATTCAGCATACTTGTTAATCGTTGATATATAAAAGTAAAAAGATAAAAATCATTATTAGCTCTCGTTTGATTGTGTAGAGCCAACTAGATATAAACAATCAACGGATAATCTTTGAATATCATTGGCAAATTGATAATCCACACTGAATATTTTTATCTATCAGACAGATTATCTTACAGAAATGATGGAAAAAATGAACTTCAGGTCTTGTCTTTCTGAACACAATTTTCTTCCTTGGAAATGTAAAATAATAGTGATGGTATTCAGATTCTACAAATCCTTATGCCTACAATTTTCGTCTTTTAGCTATAAGACTTCATAATTCTGGATTATCCAACTACTAGTTCTTATGAATGATGATGCTGTACAAAGTATACCCCGTTAAGTGTTGATATTTCGCAGTACAGTAAGATAAAACTAGAATCCCCAGACATAGTATAACTTAGGCCTGCACAAGTCAAAAACCAAAATATTATATAGTGTGGTTTGCATACAGTGAAGTTTATTTGACCTGCTTTAAAATACTGCATATCAGTATAAGGTATTACAGTAAGCAATTATTGTTGCAAACGGAAACTAAAACTTCCAGCATACAAACACACCAATCAGTTATCCTTAATAGAATCCACGTCAATCATTCTGATTGTTTATTCACCTCGAAATATTTTATAATGCATAACAAGTATCACTAACGTAGAAGCATTTGCATTCAATAAAAGGTCAAAGACATGTTTAATACTTACCTCTTTTTGAAAAAAACATCATTTTTCTACTTTACAATAAATCACTAGGGATTTCACACATCATACATGATATATCAATTAGGAAAAATTCAAATATGTAGTACAGAATAGAGCAGCATAAAAGTGGAATGACATACCCTCATCCATGTAGTACAGTTTTCCGGAGAAAATTCCAGAATTTTTCATATAATTTACGACATCTATCAAATTCTCTCAACTGGATCTCCAATTCAATGTAACCGCGGAATAGCTTATCTTTCGGACACATACCCAAAGCGGTACCCTACAAAAAATTAGGCGAGAAAATTTTCATTTGAATGTATTCATATTCATGTTACAATTATCAATAGAAAAAAAATTTAGATGACATTTATTTATACATAGTGTTATGCGAAACTACAACTGTCTTACAGAATCACATATAAAAATTACGTCACCGATTTTTTATAAAGTCTATACATTGATTAAACACAATTCGGTCAGAATTAAAGTATCCATTTGATTACCACACAGTATAAGCCATTCTCTCAGATGGACATCAGTTTTAGCATCTCTAACTATGGTGCGTGAAATGTTTTTGAGTTTAAGAACATGAGTGATCGTAAGAACGGCAACAGTTCAAGGAGCTTGTGGTTTCAAACTTTTCACAAACATTATATCGATTGTGTTGCTAAATAAACGTCTTAATGATGAGATAGGATTCTATTGGTTAATGCACTTTCATATAATGAAAGTAGTATGACCCAAAATAACGTTTGCTCTCAGTTAACGAAGTTGTGTCAAATTTTACTCTGTGTGTTACATTTAAATGTTTTAAACACAGGAATTTATAGGTTTTGTTAAAAAATAAAGTGTAACCAGATGCAGAACAAAAAATGACAACAACGCTACAATATTCATAACTTATTAGATAAGGCCGTAAATACTTTAGTGATGTTAACATGAAATCTACTTTACACAACATACACCATTATTTACATAAACTAAATCCACCCTTACAGCGGTATAAACCCTTTTAAGAAGGCTTTTAAAGGACAATCTGGTATAAAAGTGATTATTTGTCTTACTAGATAAATAGGTTAATTCATTACAATTAGAGAAGTAATCAACATTCTAATTCACTTAATTCATCTCCCATAATTTTAGCTGTAATAAGTCCTAGTACCAGCGGTTTGTTGCTAAGTAAAAAAACCTCATCAATAAGCAGTGGGTACCGTACCAGTCTCTAATACCTTCCGTTTTTCCAAACTCTATCCAAAACCAACTGAATTCACAATAATAGAATTACTTGCATGACCTAAGCTGTCGAATAGGAAGAATAAGATGTATGTAATAACAAACGGCCGTTCAGTGCTTTAAGATTTTCAAAGGTGGTCTAGCTTCAATTGACTCATAATCTCAACTATTAGAAATATACACGTATATATTACCTTAAGTAAAAACACAATGCTACGGAATTCCTAAAAGATGAGGCCACATGCTGTATATAACTTGATTATTGGTAGAGGTGTAAAGTTTCAGAGAATTATCAGAAGTTAGCCTATGTACAGCAACAAGAAGACAAACAAGCAGCGTAAGAACTAACCAGTAGTTTTCTCGCATCTGTTAATTTCTTTTGACGGATTTCGAACTTAGCTGCATATAGCCAGATTTTAGCAAATGTGAAACGTCTGTGTGGTATTAACTTTAAGCAAAATCTGTACACCTGACGTGTTCTTTCTAGATCAATTGCTGATAGTTCCTCATATAGTGCATAATTCAACCAAAGATAAATGTAGCGTCTCCAATATCGTTTTTCCTATAAAATAGAAACGAAACTCGGTAACCTTATATAAGTTAGTGGAATGGAAACAACATTAATGTAACTCATCTACAAAGCCCCAGTCTTAAAACTCGGCTCTGAGTCATGTTATATGTGGAGATTCATAATACTACCAGACTGTCAAAATAGAAGTGTAGAATGGTCCATAATTTTTAACGGTGATTAAAATCGAATCCTCTAATCACTACTTCATCATACTGTTGAATCATCTGGAGTGAACAGAATATAAAGTAATATGGAGGTATGGATTACATTGCTAAAAAGCTAAAGACACTAAATGAAAGAACATGGTGTTTTGTCACTTACGATTCGTTATCAACAAAAATTGAGTAAATACTAAAGTGCAAAGATGAAAATATATAGAATAGAAGTGTTTCGTGGAAATAAGGTGGAAAATATATACGCTTCAGGTTTTACTTGAGTTTGCAGTCTTTCTCAACCTTGTAATAAATCGAAATATTCAAGTACAGTTAAGCAACATACAGGAAAAATAATGTACTCACTGGAACTTCGAAGTCAATACCTTTGCTAAAGTACTGTTATTTCTTACAAATAAATACAGTGTATCATCTTTCTAAGCTCTATTTTATAAAACCCTTTTACACACTGAAAGTTGACTGAAAAATTTCATAGACTTACTTTGATTGGTGGTACATTTGCGACAGCACGTTCATAAATTTCTCGTGTCTGTTCAATTGAACCCTCTTCTTCCATTAAACGGACATAATCGAACCACACATCATAATTATGAGGGTTTGCTTGGACTTCCTAAAGTTGAAATTTGATAAACTGTTAGGTAAATAAAATGACTGACTGACTACCTGACATGTATATATATCTATAGCCGTCTGTTTTATCAACAAAGTAGCGCAACTAACCAAACTTACTGTTTATTATTGCGTTTTTACTTTTAAGGATTATGATGAATTTAATTATGATCTGTTGCTGCAGATTTTTTGTTCTTTTAGTCTTTAAATAACACAAGAATTCGAAAACATCAAGACTAACTTGTATGTATTTTTTATCATATGATTTAAATCTTCAACTAACTACTAGTTACCTTAGTCAACTCAACTAAATGAGCGTAGATTATTGAATTGGCACTGATTAAAAGTAGTGACAGACCGGATAGCGATAGGTGCAGCTTTAGTGATAAGTAAAGTGCTTCAAGCGTTTAGTGTGATCGACTGATGATTTCCACTGCGTTTATGAGTACTTTAAAATCAAAGGTTATCAAACATCTTGTTCATAAACAGCACAATCTACTTCATGTTTTTAGAGATAATATCATTATCATAACCAAGTACATTCGGCGTCAAAAAATACAAATAGGTCAGATATTTAAAGACCTACCTCTTCATACTGAAACTTTCGTTTGCTTAAAATAACATCTTCAATAGCTAAACGATCGCCATACTTTTTCTCGTGAAGTGTGTAAGCTTTGTAAATCTCTTGACAATCATCCTTCGGTAAATTTTCTAGTGCATACTTAAAAATAACGCGAGCACGTTCATACTAAAAATAGATTTATGAAAAGTGAGTTAAGTATTCATATTCAGTATTGATTTGTTGTTAATTGCAACATCACAAGAGAAAAGAAAAGGAATACTGAACTCAATTTGGACAGTTGTTGGTAAGCTAAAATTTACCTAGAATCTATGATACGTGAAAATGTTTAATAATTTTAATATTGGCAGATATCTTTCTTAAGAAACCTTCAATATATCACTCACTTTGAACGCGGTTTATTTATTTATTTATTTGGACACATGAATATTGGTACAAGAGAGCGCCAATATATATGCGCCACACAAAACAATGAAAATTCGAGAGGAATACAAAGAAGAAAAAAAAAAGCTAAGGAGCGCAACAAAAAAAGAGAGAACAATAACGAAGAGATTGGTGTAAGGTAATGTGCTAGTAATCAGGGAACGCAAAGGTACAATCGGAAGAAATCTTTCAGGTAAGGGAGACACAACCACTTTTTATGAAGAAAGTAAAAGAAGGTTACAGCAGGATCGCCACTGGCTTCTATTCTGAGCCATATCTGATAACGTCTCTAGCCACTGTGTAGCACCATCTCTCAGACCCCAACCAGGGAGTCGTGAAGGACCAACACAAGCCAGTCCTTTGCAGCTTTCTTTCATGCCACGACACCATGTCATGCACTGACCACCTCTCCGCTTCTTCCAACCAGTCCCAGAGTCGGCAAATAATGCACGACGTGGAATTCTCTGGGACGACATTCGGAGAACATGTCCAAGCCACCGAAGTCGGTGTTTCAAGATGGTGACACCAATTGAATTATCATCTCTGTGCCCGAACACACGATGCCGAACCTCTGCATTACTGACATGGTGTTGCCACTGAATGTCAGCAATCCTTCGGAGACAGCGATGATCGAACACAGAGAGTCGTCTAACGTCCTCAACTCGGAGAGGCCAGGTTTCACAAGCATAGAGCAAAACTGCTCTCACCGACGCGTTGTAGATCCGACCTTTTACAGCCAGACTAACATCACGAAGGCGCCAAAGGTGGCCCAGATTGGCATAAGCCGCTCTGGCTTTCACTATACGTGCATTGATCTCATCACTCACACCCCCACCAGCACTTATGCAGCTACCCAGATACACGAACTTCTCGACTACGTCTATCTGCTCACCATCCAGGGTGAGTACAGGATTGGAATCCTGCCAGTCTTGTAGAAGTACTTTGCACTTCGAAGGTGCAAAGCACATACCATACCTACGGACACTGATTGCCAACTGATTAAGTGCGGATTGCATGCCTTGGGCATTATCGCACAGTAAGACAATATCGTCCGCATACTCAAGGTCGAGAAGTCTTTCTCCAGGCAACAGATCCACACCACCATTACTTACATTCATCAGAGCTGTTTCCAGAATGTCATCGATGGCAAAGTTGAAGAGGAATGGTGAGATTGGGCAACCCTGCCTAACCCCACTGCTCGAATGGAACAATGGAGAGAGGTGGTTGTATGCCCTCACTCTGCCTGAGGTGTTTTTATATAGGGCTTTTAGGATGTTAATAAACTTCTCAGGCACACCCTTCTTCAATAGACAATCCCAGAGAACAGTCCTGTCCAACGAATCGAAGGCAGCCCTGATGTCAAGAAACACTACGATTGTTGGCCTTTGAAAAGTATGGCGGTGTTCTAACATTTGGCGGAGGGTGAAGATATGATCAATACATCCTCGACCAGAACGAAACCCAGCCTGCTCCTCGCGAGTCAATCTTTCTCGGGTTTTGAACAACCTACGAAGTATGACGGAAGCCAATAGCTTGGACGCAATCGGAAGTAGACTTATCCCCCGATAGTTGTTACAGGAACGACGTGAACCCTTTTTAAAGATAGGGACAACTATCGACTCATTCCATGACGTTGGTACACTCTCTAGTTCCCAAACCTTTGTAAACAACGTCGTCAATTCCTTAGTCAAAAAGTCACCACCATCTTTAAAAAGAGCCGGAGGTAAGTCATCTGGGCCAGGTGATTTGTAACGCTTCAAGAGTTGGAGTTCCTTGCGGACTTCCTCCTCGTTTGGTGGATCAGTCGTCACCGGCCATGGAGGGCAGGACAGTCTGACCGATGTTGCCGGAGCAGCAGGCCAGTTGAACTGCCCTTCGAAAAATTCTGCCCATCGTCCAAGACGTCGATGGATGTTAGTGATTGGCATCCCATCATCCTCGCAGATTGTTTCACTCACACCAGACTTCTTGCTGCCAGTGGCTCGGATGAGCTGGAAGAGCTTCCGGTAGTTACCAGATGCAGCTGCTGCTTCCAGCTCATTAGCACGCATCGACCACCAGGCTTCTCGGTCCTTACGCAAGCTTTGCCCAATTTCCTTACGTAACATCCTTCGTTTATGGTCAAACTCACGGTCACCCGGAGTAGACCGACGGGCTTCAATGAGTTGTAAGGAACCAGAAGAAACCCAGTGCTTAAAAGCGGGACGTTTCGCAAACCCACAACCGACTGTTCCCGCCATTTTCATGGCGTCATGCAATTGCAACCAATGCTCATCTATACTTTTCGGTGGAGTGGTAGCTAGCCTAGAGGCTAGCTCGGTTCGATACTTACTTGCAACAGAAGTTGCAACCAGCTTGCTAACATCAATCCGTTGGTGGTGGTCACTTCGTTGTCCACTGAAAAGTAAGGCAAGATTGGCGCAGACCAAGGCATGGTCAGAGTCCAGATAGGTACTCCAAAAGGAGCGGCAGTCTTGTACACAACCACGCCAGCGGTAGCTGATCGCGATGTGATCAATCTGAGTCCAGGCTTGAGATGCAGAGGGAGGACGCCAGGTGGCACATCGGCGATGACTGTGCCGAAAGTTAGTGCTAGCCAGAAACAGGTTGTGGTCTGTGCACAGTTGCAGTAGACGGTCCCCGTTATCTGACCTGCGACCAACGAGTCCCCATCGGCCACCTAAACGACTCTCTTCTGTGCCTAGACGCCCGACCTGAGCATTCAAGTCTCCGGCTAGTACTACAATATCTGTCGAACGCACTTTCTGGAGAAGAACAGATAACTGGTGGTAAAACTCATCCTTGATTGCATCCGGGCTGCAATCTGTCGGGGCATAGGCGGAGATGACGAAAAGACATCGTTTCTCACGCCGATTTCTTCTCACTTTGATGGAACTTTCTAATCTAACAGCACATAACCGACTGTTAATGGGGATCCAATCGACTAGTGCTGCCTCAGCTCTAGCGCTTAGTGCGACACCAACGCCAGCAAGACCAGACGAAGATGCCACAGGGTCCCCGGATAAGCGCACGTAAAACAAGCTTTTCGAAGCGACAGATGGAGATCGAATTTGTAGTACTTCGCCAGAGTCTTGAATACGGATAGACAACAAACATCAATATTAAGACTTTCCAAAGACATAGCCAGCCCTATCTGTTGTCCGACCTGCATAAGTGTGCGAACGTTGAAGGCAGCCAGTTTGAATGGCGCACGTGGTTTCAGAAAAACTGCTTCAGTACTCATATTCGATGGTAACATACAACTTTCAACCGGACAGTGACTCGAGAACGCGAAATCCAAAAGAATTCAAGCGCATTATCCGGCTAGGCTGAAAAGATGCGGGAATGGTTCAATGAGAAGCTCGATAATCGAACATCTTAGCATTGCCGAAAAATTAGCCACACATCCGTAAAAATCAGGATTGTGTCCAAAAGAAACTGGCACAACCTCTTTTACCACGGCCTTAATCTCTTATAATTTTCTGTCTTTTCTTCCTCCACAGTCACCTAGTTTCTTTTCATTTTCTCTATAGACCTTTTACCTCCAACTTGTTTACTTCTGTTTCTATGATACTCCTGATTACATTTCACCTCAATTTTAACAGTTTATCTTGTCATGCTGAGCCTCCTTTTCCTAATTACAAGTTCCTTATCTATCGTCATGATGAATATCCAAGTTTGCAACGACAAAAACATTATCGGTGTGGGGTTGTGGAGAATTATTTTACGAAGCCAGTGAATTGTGACCAATGAAGCTAATCCGTGGCAGGTAGAGACAGGCATCAACCTTAGACAATGGAGGGTCGCAGTTTCGTGACTTGGTTGAAGTTAGACATTAACACCACTGGATGCCGGCTCAGTGGTCAAGAGGTCAAGAGTTCGCGCGCGAGACCGAAGGTCCTGAGTTCGAATCCCGCGAGCGGGGTCATGGGTGCGCACTGCTGAGGAGCCCCAAACTAGGAACTGACTGTTACCATGTTTAACAGAATTTTATTAACAATATTATTTTAATTATTATCCTTTTGAAAAATAAGCATATATTTGCGATTGCACAGCTTTGAAAATGAATTCTCCGGAAGGAGAACCTTTCGTTGAACCAATCTCTCCTATTTTATGTCTTAATGTGTGCATTTCGTTTACATATATGTTAAAATATAACTTATTATACAACAGCTAAATATCAACATCTCCCGGTAGAGGACAGTAACCCATGACTAACTTTTATAGACTTGAACCGAGAAGCATACATTGTACATTTTAGTTTCGGTATATGGTTATTTAAAAATACGCAGTAGAAAAGCCATTTAGAAAATATGTCTAGACGTCCTCCATTTCTATAACAAAGTATAAAGACCACATATGTTAAAAATCCTAAAAGAAATGAACAGGCAATAACATATAATTTGAAGTGTTGAGGTTAACAAATTTTCATCCATTTGTTTCACTCTAAAAACCTGCACAAGTATTTCTAACTACGATTGATCTTTAGAATGAAACATAAGTGATCACCTGGAAAATAGTGAGTTAACGCAATCTCGAAGAACTGATACGAAATATGGAGTATTCATATTTAGTTCCCAGATGGATTTTTATAATATATGGAAATTATCAAATTCAAACAAGTATCATCAGTTAGGCAGTAAAAGAGACCAAAAGTGGTGGAATTCGAAACCTGCACTCGATTCACTATGAAAAACAATTTCATTAAAATACATCTGACACTTGTTAACTTGCATAATATTTGAGAGGTCGTTGGAAGCACCAGTAACCAGGTTGACTTATTTATTTAAACACGTAAACATTGGCACGAAGAAGTACCAAATACATATGGGCCACACTTTGTCATTCGATTTGTGTAAGGGCTAGAAGAGGAAGAATTGACTCTCTTCAGTCCCGACAGTGCCAGTGCCCCTTACTAAAAGCATACACACTTAAAAGGTTACGCTCAAATAAAACACTTAAGTTTTAAAATGACATTGTGTTACTTCAGCAATTGATTTGAAGATAACTTGGCACTTTATATGTGATGATATTTACATATACACCTAGAATTAAAAGAGGAAAGTTACATGAAAAGATTACCTCTTTTTGACGTTCTTCGAACCGGGCAAAATCAATCAACAAACGAGCCTGGGGATTATCTGTGCCAAAAAACTCAACTGCCCTCTCGAAAACCAGACGAGCTGAATTGATAAAACCATTTCTTTCCTCGAATTTTGAATACTTAATCCAGTTTTTTGGTTCAGGATGAACTAGAACAAGTGCACGGCAGTTAAGGAATTTCTTTTAATTGTTAAAGTAATGAACACTTCACACAATCCACGACAGTTAATGAAACAGGCTTATAATACCTAAAAAGATACCACTCAAATGCTGAATTAAAAAGGATATATCTTTCATAAACTAGACGTGCTCTATCCATCTCTTTATACCGAAGTTCAAAATTAATATAGGCATGCCAAGCCTGTTCTTCTGGTTGCCATTCCATCCATCTCTCGAATATTTGTCGGGCGCCAGCAACATTACCCAGTGTTTCTTCCATATACGTATATTTATACCAGAACTGATTAGCTCGAGGCATTAAAGTAACTGCCCGGTCCCACAAGTTTCGAGCATGGTTCACCTGTTTATGGCGCATCTCCATCTCGGCATACTTAAGCCAAAGACCAACATTTCTGTAATCCACATCCAAAGCACGTTCAAAAACTGAACGAGCCCTGAAAGTTAGTAATTATATACGAAAATATAGAATGGAATATTTGAACTCAGAAAAAACTTTCTAACAAAAACAACCTCGCCATCCTAATATTAGTTATTAGACCTGTGATGTAGTTGATTTATGGTTATTTCGTTACTAATTCATATTCTATAATCTCAATTTGGAGAAAATTACCTAAATTTGGTAATTTATTTGCCGATAATTGCACAGTTTGTGCTAATTTTGGTCACTATTTGCAGATATCAATCAGTCAGTCAGTTACAGCATAGTACCAGACACATATATGCATCGGTCTAAGTTGCCATACCTCATTAACACAACAAGATGGACACTGAATTCATAAAAGTAGTTAATTCAGAGGTGGTAATATATAAAGGATTGCAATAAGGATATAGTACAGCAAGAAAGAATAATTTGTTAGAAAGAAAGATGTAAAGCAATTTAATCTCATAGTTTAAGGGAAGACAGAGGATGTATACAACTACGCCATTGTGATCGATTCTGAGCTATGTCACCCACAGTCTCCAACCATTGGTTACGATAGTCACGCGGACCCCAACCAAGTAGTCTGCATCTACCAACATGGCTCGGACTAGAATTTAGTGACTTCAAGCACTGATGACACACTTTGGTTTAGCCGCCCCTAACTTTCTTCCAACCATCTCCAATACCGGATAGCATTGCACGTCGTGGTAATTGGTGTTCAAGCATACGTAACACGTGGCCCAACCATCTCAGTCGATGAAGATTTACAACCTCATCAACTGATTTACCATCATCCCCTAATGCCCTGCGTCTAACCTCCCTATTACTTACCCAGTGATCCCAGCAGACGCCAGCAATATTTCCAAGACATCTGTGGTCAAATACTAGTAGCTTACGAGTATATTCTACTCTTAATGGCCACATTTCGCAACCGTAAAGTAGAACGGAACGAACTGCTGCGCAGTATACTCGTTCCTTAATTGATAGACCGATATCTCACCTTCGCCATAGGTGACGTTAGTTGGTAAAAGCCAAACGAGCTTTCTGAATCCGTGCAGAGATTTCGTCGAACACCAACCCATTCGGTGACATTTTCACTTCGTGAAAATTTAGACGTCACCTTGATTCTAGTTTATCCATCCCTGGACGTGTACGATAAATATAAGGTTTTACTGATCGAATCAAACCACATGAAAATCTGTTAATATCTTTGCAAATAACTTTTTAACCTGCCTTTCCTCTCACGCTCCCTATGGGAGACTGGTTCTGAAATTACGAAATGAGTTTCTTTTAAAAGTTGCTCAAAAATGACTACACTTTTACTCCTATTATTATCTTCCTACAATAATTTCAATAAGTCTGTACTTATTGTTGTTACGTAACACGTGACCCAACCTTCTCAGTCGATGAAGATTTGCAGACATAAGTTTAGAAAACTTTTTCGAATTTGTGAAATATTTTAGCATATGCTAGCCGTATTCTTAAGTGGTCAGTATTGTAGTTGACCAACTATCAGCTGATGCACAAACTGAGATATAGACCGCTTTTCTGCACAAGAATCATTCATAGTTAAATATAGATGGTTCATATCCTAGTATATAAAAACGCTTTACACTGCCATATACAGATCGTGTTTTAAAAAACAAAGACAATAACTGCAGTAGGGCTACAGACAGATTAAACGAATTTGGGGGCAAAACATTTTTAAAGGACGATATGAGTATGCATGTTAGCCACTGCTGCTAATCTTGATCGAAACTGTTTAAAGACCCTGATCATACATTCTTATCTCACAAGTCCAATCCCAAGAATACAGAGATCTACGCATATCAAACCAACATAGTAATTTAATATGTTAGTGCTACGTTTTGGTTGAACGAAAATGAAAATTTTCACTTTTTTACAATAACATGTTACCATTTCGTAATATATAATAATTAAGTTGACAATTAATTCTTAGTCGACTTCAATTAGATGTATGGTTATAAATTTGTAATCTTACACACCCAAATCTAACAACGACACGTCTACTGTCGCTTCATTGAATTGATGAATTTTTATACAGAATTTAAAAGCGATCAACATACCACACTACTATTACTCCGTATAATAAGTCGGTGAAAATAGTTTAGTAGTATTAGTGGTAAGACTATAACTTACGGACGAACGAGTCCGATTTACGACGACAGGTCTTATATTTCGGCGCGAAATTCTTCATCTATTTGTCTAAATACCGTATTGGCATTTTAGCTGATGTCAGTTAGTGATGAAAATCATAAATCCAATCTCTATCCATAACCATCAACTATGAACCGTAATCCTTATTCTGCACATTGGTTTAAACCCTCATTTAGCCCTGGTCAGTATTTGGGCATTCTCAAAGCTATTTTAGCGTCATTTAAAGGTCATCCACAAAATAGAGTATCACCGAATTAGTTGCGATACGATAGACAGTTCCTCCTAGGAAGAAGTCGCACGTCTCGTATAAAATGCGGAAATCGACTAACCTTTGAAGTTCACCTTGCGTTTCCTCAAACTTTGCATACTTAATCCAATTTTGCATAGCCAATCTGTTCTTCCTAATGTTATCTTCATAATCTTTTCTTTTACGCAGCTGAAAGTCTCTCAACTCCGAAAGGCTTGTAATTTTCTGCTGTGGAGCCTTCGGCGTAACTTCGAGTTCTCTCTCTTTAGCTTCTCGGAGAAGCTGCTCAGCTGTTATTTGCACAGCAGCTGGCATTTTATTTTTTACCTATATATAAATATATGTAATATACCATAACTTACCCTGGCAATCTTTGCTTTTTTATTCTTAGGAACGCCTGAGTCCTCAACAGCTCTTTTGTCTGTTATCATTTTGTTTGCGACTTGATTTATCTACACAACACGAACGACAGTAACGCACAATTTGACACCCCCTCTATTAACTAAACGATTCACCTAAACAATAATTGTAAGACAGTTCAATTATTTCTGAATGACTACTTCTGTTATATTTTTGATAACCATAAAGTGCCTAAATAAACATGATCAAGCTTTAATATAGTGTGGAACAGAAAGTGAAAAATAATAATCGTCCTTGAAATATGTTTCTTCCGTATCGTTTTATCTCAATAAAAATCAAATATTCCAATGTACCTCATATTCTTGTGGAGATTTGATATGATCCGATTTAATCCCTTGCGTTTGCTGCTTTTGTTCCCGTATGGTCCCAAGACCTTTGCATTGTTAATTGGAGAGTAGAGTGTGCCAGTCAGTCAGCTACAACGTAGGACCAGGCACATATGTGCATCGGTCCAGGTTGCCATACCGCATCAGCACAATAAGATGAACACCGGATTCATAGCAGTGGTTATGTCAAAGGTGGTAATATATAAGGGAAAGATTGCATATAGAGATATAATACAAGAAAGAATTGGTTCGTAGAAAGAAAGATATGAAGTGATTTTAATCTCTTAGTTTAGGGGAAGACAGGGAGTGTATACACCGACGCCATTGTGATCGATTCTGAGCCATGTCACCCAGAGTCTCCAACCATTGGTTACGAAAGTCACGCGGACCCCAACCAAGTAGTCTGCATCTACCAACATGGCTCAGACTAGAAGTTAGTGACTTCAAGCACTGATGCCACGTTTTGGTTTGGCCGCCCCTAACTTTCTTCCAACCATCCCCTATACCGGTTAGCATTGCACGTCGTGGTAATCGGTGTTCAGGCATACGTAACACGTGGCCCAACCATCTCAGTCGATGAAGATTCATAACCTCATCAACTGATTTACCATCATTCCCTAATACCCTGCGTCTAACCTCACTATTACTTACCCGGTGATCCCAGCAGATGCCAGCAATATTTCTAAGGCATCTGTGGTCAAATACTAGTAGCTTACGGGTGTCTTCTACTCTTAAGGCCATGTTTCGCTGCCGTAAATTAAAACAGAACGGACTGCCGCGCAGTATACTCGTCCTTTTATTGATAGACGGATATCTCGCCTTCGCCAAAGGTGACGTAAGTTGGCAAAAGCCAAACGAGCTTTCCGAATCCGTGCTGAGATTTCGTCAGACACCAACCCATTAGGGCTGATCAGACTTCCAAGATAAGTGAAGTTGTCAACGCGTTCGACTACTTCACTCCCTATCCTTAGTTCAGGTGTTGACGCAGACCAGTCCTGAAGCAACAACTTGCATTTAGAGGGAGAGAAGCGCATTCCAAACATTCTGGCATTGTTGCTTAGTGCTACCAGAAGACTCTGCATTTTGTCAGCGTCTTCACCAAACAGGACTATGTCATCTGCATATTCTAAGTCGATAAGTGGACCTCCTGGAAGGAGATCAATACCCGAGAATTCAGTCGACGAGAGTGTTATTTCCATCAATAGGTCTATGATGAAGTTAAACAAAAATGGAGAAAGTGGGCAGCCTTGACGGACACCACTTGAGGTTGCAAAAGTAGATGACAGTTCGCCATAAGCCCTGACTCGACTAGTAGTGTTCGAGTAAAGAGCCTTCACAAGGTTTATGTACTTCTGAGGTACGCCTTTCAATGACAGACACTGCCACAGAATCTCGCGGTCTACAGAGTCAAATGCTGCTTTTAAGTCAAGAAAGACCACCATCGTCGGACGCCGATAAGTATGCCTGTGTTCTAGAACCTGACGAATGGTGAATATGTGGTCGATGCAGCCACGACCAGGTCTAAAGCCAGCTTGGTTCTCTCGTGTTTGTAGTTCACGAGTCTTAGTTAGGCGTTTGATAATTATCGAGGCCAGTATTTTAGATACTATATTTGTTAAACTAATCCCTCTGTGGTTGTCACAGGATGATTTTGACCCTTTCTTATATATTGGGACGATAAGTGATTGCGACCAGTCAGATGGGATAACGTCTAATTCCCAGATTTTAGCTAAAATATTAGTCAACCTAATCGCTAAAATTGGACCACCATCCTTAAAGACTTCTGGAGCCAGTCCATCTGGACCAGCTGCCCTTCCTCGTTTCAGATTAACTATAGCCTTCTCAACTTCAGCAAGAGTTGGGGGACCTACTTCAATGTTCCATTCACACTGTCTGGGAATGGAGGGTAGTTGTAGAGTAGCTGAAGGCCAGCTGAACTGTTCTCTAAAATGTTCCGCCCATCGTTCTAAACGTCTGGACTGGGAGCAGATGAGAGTATCATCTTTTTCCGAAATAATCTCACTTACACTTGACTTATTAATTCCAGTTTCTTTTATTAGTCTGTAAAGCTGTCTTGTGTTCCCTATAGTCGCCGCCTTTTCCATCTCTTTTGCTTTCGTTACCCACCACTGCTCACGGTCGTTCCTTAGACTTTTTCTTAACCTAGATCTGATTTGTTTCGCTCTTCATCATGTTCAGAACCTGATGGGACGAGTTTGCGAGAATCCATCAGTGTGACAGACCTTGAAGAAATCCACTGGTTCCTTGTAACTCTGTGGTTTAAGTCACTAATAGATGTCACTGCTGTTTCCACAGCTGCTTGTATGCCCTTCCAAGCAACATCTGGGTCAGCCTCGTCTTCACAACTACCTAAGTGTGACCTCAGTTGTTCCTGGAACCTACTTTTGGTTTTCTCGTTACTCAACTCAGTTCTAATGGGTCTTTTTAATGTGGCTTTTTTGCGTCCAGTGAGGCGCAAGCAGATGCGTGCCCGTATTAGGGCATGGTCGGAGTCCAAGCAGGTACTCCAGAATGAGCGACAATCTTCTACCGACCCTCTCCAACGATGACTGATGGCAATATGGTCTATTTGAGTCCATCGTTGGTTTGGTGTAGGGGGTCGCCATGTTAGACGATGTCTCTCCTTATGCTTAAAATTTGTGTTTGCTAAAAATAAACGATTGTCTGAGCATAGCTGCAGCAGACGATCACCATTATCTGTTCGCTGTGTCGGAATACTAAAATATCCACCTAAATGCCTTTCTGTTTGGTTTAAACTGCCTATCTGAGCATTAAAATCACCTGCTACGAGTACTATGTCTGAGCGTTTAGCTTTCTGAAGAAGTTCGGAAGCTTTCTGTAAAATTCATCTTTCACTTCATCTGAGCTGCAGTCAGTGGGAGCGTAGGCAGAAACGACAAAAAGGCAACGACGTGTGTCCCTATCCTTCCGAGTTCTTACGTAGCCGTTCAGCCGAACAGCACATAGACGACTGTTGACGGGGATCCACTCTAGCAGTGCTTGTTCGGCCCTCATGCTTAGTGCTATGCCTACACCTGCCAGTCCACGAGAACTTGCCATCGGGTCACCAGATACACGAAGGGTGTATCTCGTTGGCTCTCCGTTTGCCGAGGTGAGGTCAAGTGAATGACCACACTGGAATCCTGTATGCGTGTTTCGGAGACACAGCATACATCAATGGAAAGAGACTCTAGGGTTTTAGCCAAGGAAGCCTGCTGACCGATTTGACATAGGGTGCGTACGTTGAAGGCTCCAATGTGTAGTTTGGAGCGAGGTTTCAGTAGACCTGGGACAGTGTTTTGCGCACTAGAATCGTTGGCTATGGTGACACTTGAGGTGGAAGCCGAAGGAGGAAGTTTAGAGTTGAAAGTCGATGTAGGAGGAATAATAGGAATTGAAGAGGAGGTTGATTATGAATACAGTGGTCTTGAGTGCTGTTAGAAGTATGAGGGCGGTTATCACTTCCCGGTTGCCCACACCGTGGAAGGGTTGTTCTGGAGGTACCTGAAAAGGAAATTGGATTAGAAGTGGTCTTAGTGACCTGAGAGCGTGACCGCAGTGCCCAAGGGACAACTGCTTGAGGTCGGTCACACACGACCTTTTTATGGGTAATTTTTGTGTTAGCTCCGTACTTATTGAGACCTTACCGCCGGAGACGGATATCCGTGGGATAAGGCGAGGTGTGCATTTTTAGGGTCGACCTTTTCTAACCCCACCCCTCCTTGTGGGAAGGCAGCATCGCTGTCATGCTGGTTGTCTGAAGGAAACACCTTACTGCTGTCACACCTCTGTACAGTCAGCAGTACGACTTCGCCTTCGGACCTTGGGTTTGTTGCTTTTAGTCTTACCGCTCTTCAACCGACCTGTCTGACATGGTAGGACCTTGAGGAACGGTTGTTCCAGCCAGTATAGCTCGGTTGCTTCATCACGATAGGCAAGCCCGACCACCACGTCAAGGTAGCAACAACGGTCGGGGTAGAGTGTGCCATTGTCGTTTAACTCTTTTTTTCTCAAAAAGCTAGTAAAAATCCTAAATATCAAGTTTATATCCGTGAGATTTGTTCCTTAGATGTATGTCTAGTTTAATTAACTGTGATAAGCTGCCATCGTATTTATTGGAGTATGAGATTAGCATTTCCTGAATCTTTAATGCAATTTGAACTGGTGTTCAACCTCTCTGCGCCCTGTAGTCTCACGTTGTACCCTGTGAAGAAAATTGGGGGAAGACTTCCATAAGGAACACAAGTCGTTTGTTTCGAGGATCGACTGATCTAATCTGGCTATCGATTGCAGGGGATTTGAGTACGATATTCTCACTTGTGATCTTTTGCGGCCGCATGACCGAGTGCATTCAGCTAGGTCAATCTATTAAAACTAATGTGGTCAGCATCTAATGTCGAAGACTTACAGAGCTATTCATTTTGTGGATTTATTTACCGCTACAAGGTGATGCGGTGGAGGAGGCGAGTCTATAATTTATGGACGAACCAATAAAATTTAGGATAACGGGTCTAAATCCTAACCCTTATCATTAACTGCAAATAATTGTCTTTATTCCTCAATATGCTTTATGATCCTCATTTAGCCCTAGTATGTAGGTAGACACTCTCAAGGTCACTCTAGCGTCGCTCAAAGGTCGTCCATAAACTACAGTCTCACCGCAT